TCTCTCTCTCTCTCTCTCCGTCTCCCTCTCTCTCTGCCTCACCCCTTTAAGAATTAGTACATTTGCCCATTTGTATGTTTTTGACATCTCCCACATTCTCTAAGAATTCTCCAAGATTACTGATACCCAGGGCCAAGTCCATTCCTGACATTTTCTTCTCTTTTTAATTTTTTTGGGTGCCCCTTATCTAGCTGCTGACGTATGGTAAAAACCTCTAAAGAATGAATGAGTAGATAGACTGTGCCTCTGTTCTGAGATGTATTCGCTTAGAGCTTGGCCTCTGGATGGAGTGATCGTGCCACGGCTGTGTCTTCCTGGATTACTGCCTGCCAGAAAGTGTGCTCAGGAGCAGCTAAAGGTAACATCGCTAAAGCACCTGTTCCCTAGTGTAGCAGCTTGGTGTGTTCAAGCTCTTCTGGCGATGAAGACTTTGCCTCTTATTGTCATTGGAAACGGTATAAAGATAAAATTTGCAGATTTTTATTTCTTTCTCTTTTTACCTCATAGCCAATTTCTCTTCCTCTCTCCTCTCCCTTCTCTGGCTAGAAAATCTTTGTGTTAGCCAAAGAATGACTTAGTTGTAATGTATGTACCATCACAGCCAGACATGACCTTAAATCCAGATGTAGCAGCTGATCACTCCCTCACTCTAAAATGCTTTCTGTAAGATGCCCACTATGGAACAGCCTACTATAGGGACAGGAGCACACGCTCTGGTACCAGGATGCCTGCGTTCAAATCCTGGCTGTCACACTTACCAGCTGTGTGCCTTTGAGCATATCACCTAACATTTCTCTGCCTTAGTTGCCTTAGGCTTAAAATAAAGGTAATATTAATACCTATTTCCAAGGATTGCTATGAGGATTAAACGAGTTAATTAATATAAAATTCTTAGAACAGAAGCTAACCCATAATTTATGGCTCAATAAGAATGAAGGACAAAGAAAAAAGAATGAAGACTCAGGAAAGTAGAGTAATTTGCCTAAAACAGCAACTCATAAGACGAGGGCCTGAGCATACCTGCCTGACCCAGAGGTCATGCTGCTTTCCTGCCTTACATTGCCTCTATGTAGTTCTTGATTCATCTTGCTTAGCGTTATACCTCTCAGAAGAAAGATAACACAAGAGGAATAATGTCCAGAATTAATTCTAACTAGTGAGAGCTAGGTTTTGGTATGATTTTACAGACTTCTTTGTTCAATTTTTACTAAAATGTTAGTGTTTTAGCTCCCTGTGTACACATACCACCTTCATCTCATGTACTGCTTAGTACAGTTCCTGGCACATGGTAAACTTGAGATAAATAATTATTGACTGGATCATATGCATTTTGAGATGATAAGGATATTGGAAGACTACTGAGGCAGTTCACACAGTGGCCAGGGGCACAGCCATGGATAAAGACTGGCTGCATTTAAAATTAAGTGTTCCTTAAAGATTATTTAATGAAAATCATAAGTAACTTCTCTGGTGCCTCAGTTTCCTAAGGATAATAATAATAATACCAACATCATAGTAGGGGCCTATGAGATAATCAAAGAAAACATTTACACTATTGTCTGATCCATAGTAAGCTTGCTGTAAGGGCCAGCTATGTAAATTGCAAGCTATAGAACCTGTGTCTCATATTTCTGGGCCATTTAGAACTAAGGTACATGTGATCCAATGGCTGGAGACTTGGAAGAGACCGTGGCTTGTATTCAGCGGCAGTCTAGGAAGCACATTCCTAACTATCTTGTCATAGAAGATTTATTTCTGACAGAAATCTAAATCTAGAGCAGATGATTAAGCAAACAGCCTGTGAATATATCAGAAGGAGTATAGTGCTTAGGGAGCATCAGTGTGAATTTACAAAGAGTAAAATTTTTGAGCAGGTGATTTAGTGAAAACCCTAGGACAGTGCTGGTGAGCTGTTCAGAGCTTTCAAGGATAACAAACAGCTGGTTGTAGCACACACCCCGCAGTTCACCATCACGGCACGAGGAGAATGCCTTAGAGGTAGCAGCTACCATCTCCAACAAAGCGCATGTAGGGTTTTATTAGAGGTTTAATTAATCACACCTAGATCTTCAAGAAAGCACTTTAAAAAGCCTGATTGGGGCTGGGGATGTGGCTCAGTAGTAGAAACTCTTACCTGGCATGCACAAGGCCCTGGGTTCAATCCCCAGCACCAAAAAAAAAAAAAAAAAAGCCTGATTTGGAGAACAGAAGAGTGAAAGGTTCAGTGTGTGAGCCTGGGAATCAGAAAGGCCTCACATTTCGCCTTAAAACCGTGCCTCAGATTCCCCATCGGTCCGATAGAGATCATAATCGTAGCAGTCTCCTGTTGTGGTTGAGAGCTTCAGAGATGTGTAGGGGTAATGCCATGTAAATGCAAGCCCTCAATAATGACAACGTCAGACAAGGGAGCAGAATAGCAAGTGGTGGATAGAAAGGAGGTTCCAGGTTTCAAATGTTCAAAGGCAGCCTGGGAGTTTGCTTTGCAGTTGACAAAATAACTGCAGAGACAGCCTGAATAGCAGCCTGAAGTCTGAGCGCGTGTTGCTTCCTCTTCTCTCCGCCAGGCGCCTTCGTAGTGTGCTGGACCCCGGGCCTCGTGGTGCTGCTCCTGGATGGCTTGAACTGCACGCAGTGCGGCGTACAGCACGTGAAGCGCTGGTTCCTGCTGCTGGCCTTGCTCAACTCCGTCATGAACCCCGTCATCTACTCGTATAAGGATGAGGACATGTACAGCACCATGAAGAAGATGATCTGCTTCTGGCAAGAGAGCAGCCCGGAGAGGCAGCCCTCCCGCCTCCCCTCTACGGTCCTCAGCAGGAGCGACACCGGCAGCCAGTACATGGAAGATAGTATTAGCCAAGGCACGGTCTGCAACAAAAGCAGCTCCTAAGCTTGAGACTGCTCTCCACCTGACCCCCCAGGCCTCCCTGGGAAGCAGAGCTGTTAGGAATGCTGACCTGTCTCCTTGAAGCCCTTGACAGTGTTACTTTGAGGTCTATTTTAATCACGGCTAGATGTAAAACAATGTTTTTTTCTTGGATGTTGTAGTTGAAAAGCATGGGCAGTAAAGAGAAGGCACGACGCACTTAGTGAGCATGCGCGTACGCTCAGGAGGCAGCGCCAAGCCCTACTGCTCCTCTTGCGAACTGCTCAGAGAGCCCGCCAGCCGCCGGCTGGCTGTTCTGGGCTCAGCCGACGTCCTGTAGCCATTCTCTTTGTGTTTTAAAGATGTCTTTCAGGGGCTTAAGCCACAGTAACTAATAAATAATGTTACTTGAGCCACCTAATGTAGCTGCTAAGAAAACCTATGTAGGTAGTTCTTTCTGCATGCATTTAAGACTTTCAGGAGCGCTTTAGCAATGATACAGTTTTTCCCTCAAAGAAACCATGGCCAGTAGCTAGGTGTTAATAGAAACTTAAGAATAACACATCAGTAAATTTTATTTTATTTTATTTTTTTACCCAAAAAAGCACATTTGAAATAAGAAAAGGCCTTCGTGTAGTCCTCTACCCATGCATGTATGTGCACGTGCAAAGCTACTTATGCAATTTAACGTATTTAAAGAATCCGAGGACAGTGTTGGCAGAATAAACTCACTGGTCACCTAGACTTTCCGGCCTAGGACTGTCACTGTAGAAGTGACCTGTTGTGCTTTAAATGAAAAGAGAAAGTTCATTTCCAGTAAGTTTTTGTAACAGAAAAAAGATATGCTGAGAAGCAAATGAAATCAGTTCCATGTAGGATCAAATCTGAGCATGACCAGAATCCTTAATTTTAGTTTCCTCCATATTCCTAGCAGCTCGTTACATTTAGTATGCGGAATAATTTCACATCTCGTTTTTTGCCCAAGATTATCAACACATTTTGGGACCGATCTTGTGGACTAAATTTTGATCCAGGTTCTATTTTGAATTTTTCTCCTTCAAACACCTGAGCAGGCAACATAAAAAGCAAATCAGCAAAACAGAAAAATAATGTGTTATATTCATAGGCTACCAAAGTTTTCTGTGTAAGTCATTCAAGTCATTCCAAGTGTATGCTGATTTAAAAGAAAAATAACTTCCAGGCAGATAATATAGTATTTATGTAGTTTGCAAAAGAAGTTTACATTTTTTAGCTATTGTGATGTAACATTTATGTGCAAGAACTACTTGTAATAAAAGAATTTGAGAAGCCATGCTTTTAGATATTGTGGTAAAATAGAGTATTATGATTTCAAAGTGTAGATTTCATAAGCTCTGTGTAGTAAGTGGTCTATCTGAAGCTTCTATCAAACCTACCTATAAAATAAAATTTAAGACAGATCTGTTCTCTTTTGTTGAGGCACATTATTGCTTTGTGTATTTTCTAAGTAAAAATATAGTTTGTGATAACTATGGCACCATTTCTACTGCAGAAGAAAAATCAAAGTTGCCATGAAGAACATACTGTTGATGTTTTATGTAAGCATTTTGAATCTACAGCTGGCCAAAGGGTGGAGAATTGAAATTGAATTCCAGTCCCTGAATAGCTACTAAGGGATCTTTAAAGGTTTTATTTTGAGGAAAGAACCATTTTTAGGACCCTGCAGCAGAGTGTCATATTTGCAATGGTGTCTGGAGGGGATCCAAAGTGTGGAGACACAGGGTAGAAATATATAGTTTTTATTTTTATGCACACACATATCTCAGCAATGATATAAGAGTAGAGAAGTCATGAATATCCAGAAATGACAAGTGCCAGGGGTCACAGAGCTCACCAAGACTGCTCAGCAAAGTCAGCCCACCCACAGTAGAGAAATAAAGCAAAGAAACAATATCTCTCTGCAAATTCTAAGGTCTCAGGTTTACCTGAAAGTCATTATAATGATGATAGTGAACATTTCATCACGTTTTTTTTTAAAATCAGATACTCCGTAGCCAAGCAAGATTTCATGCTCTTAGATTTATTGTCCAGGTTGTTGTGATCAGTCCCTGTGGGTGAGAGAAGTTAGTCATTTATTAAGACTGCTTCTTGGAATGAAATAATTTGTTGAAATTTCTTGGTGGATTTCTTTTTGCAGTTGAGTTGTAGACCTGAAGCCAGTCTATAGTCTTTAGATGCCCTGGGCTTGGATAAACCCTGCCCACATTTATGCAATTGCAAATAAAAGCAATCCCAAACCTTTTATGTTTAGTTAAATGTAAGCCTCCAACAAAGTTCTTAATTTCCCTCATAATCAACCCTTTGATGCTTTTTACAAAGACTAACAATCAAGTCATATCACTGTCAGTGCCCTGGATTCCCTAGCCATCTGAGCACATGCTCAGTCCCTGCTGGGATGGCCTGGGATGAAGGACCCAGGAGGTGGACAATATAAGCATCAGTTGCAGGAGAAGGTGTGACTCTATTTACCTGGTGATGTCACTCCACATAGACTACAGAGGTTGCCATGTTCTGTGTATGTAGATCAAGTTTTCTCAGGTTAAAAGTATTTTGTGCTTATTAGCTCATTAATACTCTAATTTGGTGGGAAAGGTAAGATTGTTTGCCCCCCTTTTTAAAATTGATTAAACTGGCATAATGCAGTGACAAACTCAAAACCTATCGAGGCCTGTGCTAAAATTAACCACAGTACTATCCTTCATGATGATGCATCTCACTGGGTACTAAAAAGAACTAGTAACACACACAAACAGATCTAACTTAAGGGAAGCTTACCATAGAATTACATCCCCTTTGTGGATCACTAACTGTGGTGTTAAATTGGAAACCCCCAGGGCTTTTTCCAACTTTATGCATTGTCTTCCAGGCATAGGGTTGGGGTTAGGATCACTTCAAGACATGAAGCATTTTTAAAGTAAGAGAAGCTGCATTTTGTGTGAAGGATGCTGTCCTGAATACTTTACATAATTTGAAATACTCAGTTTGAGACTAGTTATAAGAGGAATAAATATTAGGTGGAATGCTGTACCTGTGAGTTTTGGCCCCACTGTTATATTTTATCTTTTTGCCATTTTCTAAGTGTGCTCTCTGCTAAATTAACAGATGGGAGACTATTGATTGTAGTTGTTAAGGGTTCTATCACATCCATCACTTGAGACCTAAAGGTTTATAGTGCAAACAATAGTGCAATGGTTATTGACTCACACGTAGAAGTTGCAGGAGGGACACATCAATAAAAGTGTGGATCACACGACACTTTGTAATGCACTTGCCCCTTGCATGACAATCCATGAACACAGTTTGCAATTTACTGGGCCAGCCAGTTTTGGAATTTGCAGTTTTGGCAGCTTTTTAGAGAGTTGTAATTTTATGCTGCAAAATTTTATAAGATCTTCTTTATCAGCAACTTTAGCTTTGCATAGCTGAAGTTTCCATAAGTGCATCTCTGCTGTATTTGTTACTGAGTGTAGAGCCTATGTATTGTATGTGAGGAAGATGTATTGTATTAAAAGGGGAAGGAGCTGCCACCAGCCCTATTCAAAAGCTATGCCTTTTCCTCAAGACACTGTTGCTTTTTTCAAAAAATAGTATAATACACTAATTTTGTTAGAATTTCACCATACCTGCTTAAAAAACTGTGCTGATAAATATGTCTGCCAACAGCACAATGGACACATGTAGAGTTGGGTGGTTTACCACTCACACAAATGCATGTGACAACTATGTCTCAGAAAGCACCGGATAGAAATTCAGAATATCTGGGTTCTGATTTCTGTTTTGCCCCAAACTGTGTATGGAACTCTAGATAAGACTGCTGATATAGATGAGAGATTTAAATTAAATGACCCATAAGGACCTTTGACCTCCAAAATTCCAACTTTATGTATCTTCTCCTAGATGTAATCCTAGAAAGAGCCCTAAGTCTTTGGATTCTTCCGGTTTCACTCCTTGCATAGAGATTTTAAAGAAAAGGAGAAAAGGAAATGTGTTTTGATTTATTGCAGTGGTTCTCAAGTGTTAGGGTGCATAAGAATCACCTGGGGAGATCATCCAAAATCTGTTTTAAGCAGGTAGGAAATATATACTCATCAATCCATCAAGAATATGGGGAAGAAAGATTTCTAAAAGCAAATGGAGGTGCCAGTCATCCGTATGCAGAACCCAAGATGCTTCATGATCTGCTTATGTTTGCTAAAAGTGAATTTAATTTGAAGTGTGTGAGCTGCTCTTTATTCCATCAAGGCAAATAAGCCACTTATTTATTTTATATTTAATTTGACTGATGTCTTTAGAACATTTCCTAGGAATTGAGGAACCCACCTACTCCCCAAAACAGCCCCACCCTTAAAAATTAACAAAACCATAAATAAAATAAATACACAAATCAAGGGAACTGAAAGTGAAAGGGAGCTGGAAATATTAGGGGTGGACATATATGTGCTACGGCAGCCACCTCAAGCTATCACACTGGTGATTCCAGTGTGGTATTTTTGATCTGGCCTCAAAAATACCAGTTCTTGGAGTTTGGGGGAGCTTTTCAGAGGATGGCAATTTGATGCAGCAAAATCTTTTATAATATTTTTATATCAGCACTTTCAACTTTCTGTAGTTGAATTCTCATAGATATAAAATTCTGTGAGACCTGGGGGAGGACAAGGAAATCATAAATTGGCTACTTTTTGGGGTTGAAAACACTTTGCCATTTATGGGTTGAGAATCTGGTGCTGATAACCTAAATTAGACTTGCTTGCTTTGTTTTGCCTAGGTGACTGGCTAGCCACAGGTTTACATAAATTTAGGAGCTGGGACATATCAGCCAGTCTTCAGTCAGAAAAACATAAATTATTTAGTATCTGAAGCAGGAAGGTATTTAAAACAGCCATTAGGTGTTCATAAAACAGGTGGAAAGTCTAGAGGCAGGAAATGGAAGGGAATATCATAATTAGGTCTCAGGTTTGAAGCTAAATCTTAGGAATCACTGCTGCACAGGCCAGGAACTTCCAGAAAGTGCTTCCAGAGGCATGAGATTTGTGGAAGTCTCAAATCTTCAACTTTGCTGCTAGAGGAAGAATAGGCCCCTACTGCTTCCCTTCTATCCTCTTCCTCCGTCATGACTGTCCGGTTCCGGGAAGTACTGTGGAGGACACAGTAGAGATCAGCCTCAGGACTGACCATCAGCAGGCAAGACAACACACATGGGGAGAAAAGAAGGAAGGGAAGAGGATTCTTGGCTTCTGGAATTTTCTCCTTTTGAAGATACCAATTCTAGTAGTTTTTCTTGACTGAAGAAAGAAGAGAATATAACTAGATCTAAAATAAGGGATGAAGGGGCTGGGGATTTAGCTCAGCGGCAAAAGCGCCTGCCTGGCAAGCGCAAGGTCGTGAGTTTGGTTCCCGGTACCGGAGAAAAACCAAATAAAATAAAATAAGGGATGAAAATTATCTAGAGAATATAATATTATAGTAATGGGATTTTCTGAAGGCTGAAGGGAAAAGGGCATGAGAACATAATTCACTTATTATTACAGGTTATTACAGATTCCTCATCCAAATCTGTGAAAGCAAAGCTGAGATTGGAACGTAAGGATAAACCTAGGTGGTCATAGTTGATACACAACCATGGTGGATATGACATAATCATTCGTTCAGGTCCCCAGATCTTGAAACAGTAATGAATGGGCAAGAGTAGGTATGAAATTCAGACAGGCAAAGTCATCAAAAGTCAGACTTCTGTGTTCCGATCCTATACAGTACAATAGACAAACTTCAGAGAGGAACGGTAATAGAGCTAAATTCCAGTTTACGGTTTGTTCGGGGGAATAAATAACACAAAGCTTCTTGTTTTGATAGAAATGAAAGCCCAATTATTGCACCTGTGAGGAAGTTGTAATGTAGGGATTATCTGTATTTTAGACGTGACAAAACTGAAGGCAAGATTGAATGTTAATGATACATTGTAACTAACTCAAGGGTCAAAGTTAACTAAATTCTTTATATTTTTTCCTCTATTTAGAAAAAAGGTAGTTTTCTAAGAATCATATATAAATTCAGATTTCAAGAAAGTAATGCTTACCAATAATAGATTAGTCATTTTAGTAATTAAGAATCTTTGTGCTAACCAAAAAAAATCTTTGCTCTAGCGGGGTGTGGTGGCACATGCCTGTGATCCCAGCACTTGGGAGGCTGAGACAGGAGGATCACTGTGAGTTTGAGGCCAACCTGGGTCACAAAATGAGTTGAAGTCCACCTGAACTGCATAGTGAAACCCTGTCTCAAATAGACCAAAAAATTTAAAATAAATAAATAAATAAATTTAAATTTAAAGAAATCTTTGTGCTTTTTGAGTAATTCAGTTTATGAAACTATATGTTACAGAAATGACTCTAAACTAGGAAAAGAC